TCCATATGCTGCTGGCGATACGATGAAACCCCGAGCCAATACGATTCACCCCTGCTCACGATTCATTAATGATTTGACAATGATTTTCGATTCGATGCAACTCCCGATGCGATTTGAAACGATTCAACACATAAAGAATTTACAAGCCCACATCTGGTTTTAAAGCATTACCACATGTTCCCTCTCTGTGAAGGATGTACTTGATCCTCTATTGTTTTTGATTCATCCATAAATTCAACATGAAAAGCCAACACACTTCCTCAGTGATAGTTACATTATTATGCAACACTGCAAGCATCTGAACATAACATTTAATATTGTACTGATCCATAAGGGGCTGTGGTGAGAGCTGCTGGAGCCTAAAGTTACTGTTCCTTTAAGAGAACCATGAACACTGGAGAAGAACGGAGATGTGAGTTCACCTCAGCTGTTTACTGGACTTCTCTGAACCACTGTTAAAGGCAAAAGGTCCTTCTGTCTGGAGTTTTTAGATCTGTACAAATGTTACAATAATCAGGAATCATCTTAAATGACCTCAAAGCTTCAGATGCACAGATCCATAAGAATGCTCTTAAAAATCTGCTGCTGCAGAAACCAGAGACCGTGTCACAGAGAAGTTTATTTTATTTTGGTAAGTGGAGACAGGAAGCACATACAAATGTACAAATATGCTCCCACTGTGGCTGTGCAGTACTCACTACCCTGGCTTTCGCTTAAAGACAGGGTATCTGCAGGTTTATGGGTGCCAAATTTAAGACTTTTAAAGACCTTTTTTAGGGCCACTTTGACCAAATTTAAGCAATTTTTAACAATATATTTAAGCTATAATTTCCAGCTATTGCCTGGAACCAGTGCTAACCATGTTGCAAACGTGGGATTAGCCATCCAGTTACCATTAAACTTCCACATGGCGCAAGCTCCCACTAGCTTAATCAGCTAATGTGCTCATCTAAAAATAGCCCCCTTTCACAACCAACTGAATGTGTACGGTTCCGCTTACGCCAACATCAAACACAAAAAAAAATCCTGAACACAAACTAGAAACTCACGAAATTTTTTATAGAAATAAAAGAATCTTGTTTATTGAGTCTTTGGTAATTTAAGACCTTTGGAAACTGGTTTTAAGGATTATTTGTCATTTTAAAGGATTTTTAAGGCCTTAAATTTGGAAAAGCAAATTTAAGACTTTTTAAGGATCCGCGGATACCCTGGAAAGAGATGAGACGTTCTTTATTTAATTTTATTTTTTATTCTTTTTTGATTTTATTCTTTTTATTCTTGTGTGTAGAATAAGAATAAAAAAATGAAAACGTTCAATGCACCTCAAAAAAATGAAGACACAGCAGGTAAACTAAGGAGTAATCGACGTAACCGTGGTTTTTACCGACAAGAGACACGCATGGAAAGATACACTGAGATATAGCCGTCAGTTGTACCCGACACTGAAGCTACCGGTGCAGTCGCATCGTTAACTTCATGAAAGAACCACCATTCAGATCGGTCAATATCTCCATCCCTAGTACACACGCGTCACCAGTCCCTACAAACACCACCAGCAGGCAAGGTGGGTCTTCCCCAAGGACACAATGACAGTGACAAACTGAGTGGGGGGGCTCGAACCTGCAACCTTCAACCTCAACAGTCACGTAATAATCTGTTTCATATCTGTCATCTGCCATCCTGCATAATTATTTTTTATTTATTTTTAAAATGACATCTCCTAAAAACATCAATAAGCTTTTATATGCTTTTCATGAAACTGAAACAGCTGCTTATTCAGACATCCTGTTACAGCATTAAAGGGACTTTACGGACTTTTGAATTTTTATGCTTGCGATTGCCCCCTCAGGCCAAAAGTGTAACGACAGTTTCAATAGTAGGCTCGTGCTCGAGGCGTGCATGCTGTACGTGCACACTCCTTAACGAAAATAACAGCTGAGACAGTTCCTTGTGTGTGTGTGGCACAGAGGACAGGAGAACGCGCAGCTAATTAATTAAATAATTTGGTTCTGTACATTTCTCTTCAGCACAGCCGACAAAGGTTTATGATGGGTCAGTCCTCCTGCATGCTCAGATCATTCCCTTCCCTTGCTTGAAAAATTGTTCCAAAATGAAAGTTGAACCCACATCTTTTTTATCCGTGAATTCAATGCCATTCGGCGAGTCTCAAATAACAATTTGGGCATCTTACTGTAAAAAATATACCATTAATGTAAAAAAATAAACTCTTAATAAACAATGTTCACACCCAGAATCGAACCCAGGTCTTCTGCACGAGAGTCCAACGTCTTACAAGGTGAGCTAAAGCGCCAGTGATGTCATTTGTATCTGTAACTTTTATATCCTTGATGACACCTGAAACAACGCCAAACCAAAGAACGGTTCAGAGCGAAAATGGCTATTTTGTTGCTAATTTGCAGGAAATATCTAGAAGAAAGTTCTACAGAAAGTAGCTAAGGGTCCAGCGACAAAGGCACTACCTCTCTCTCTGCTGCTAAAGCTACAGATAGCAAATGCTACGGGCTATGCCTGAGCGTGAACGTGCATGAAGCAGCCTGCTCGACCCGAGCAGCTCTTTTTCTGTGACTTTACAGAAAAACATGCAATCACAGTAAAAATGCCAGGGCTCATTCTACAGGACCAGGGCATTGCAGGAGAATGTATGAAGAAGACATTTATTATTTCTATACATGTTTTGGCTGTCAAACTTCCATAATGCCCCTTTAAGCACTAGTAGCTTCAATTACTCCTATTTCAGAGCAGAAGACTTCCAGCACTGGAAAAAGCATCAGGGCCTCATTTAATAAACTCATTTATTAGCGATGGGAATTCCGGCTCTTTTTAGAGAGCCGGTTCTTTTGGCTCCCAAGTGGCTCCTCAGATTTTCTGTTGCGTAAAGTATATCTATCACCAAAAATAATGCAAAACTACAGGTGCTGGCCAGTAAATTAGAATATCATCAAAAGGTTGAAAATATTTCAGTAATTCCATTCAAAACGTGAAACTTGTACATTATATTCATGCAATGCACACAGACCAATGTATTTCCAATGTTCATTACATTTAAATTTGATATTCATAAGTGACAACTAATGAAAACTCCAAATTTGGTATCTCAAAAAATTAGAATATTCTGAAAAGGCTGAATATAGAAGACACCTGCTGCCACTCTAATCAGCTGATTTACTCAAAACACCTGCAAAGGCCTTTAAAAGGTCCCTCAGTCTTGTTTTGAAGGCACCACGATCATGGGGAAGACTTCTGACTTAACAGCTGTCCAAAAGACAATCATTGACACCTTGCACAAGGAGGGCAAGACACAAAAGGTGATTGCTAAAGAAGCTGGCTGTTCGCAGAGCTCTGTGTCCAAGCACATTAACAGACAGGCGAAGGGACGGAAAAAATGTGGTAGAAAAAAGTGTACAAGCTCTAGGGATAACCGCACCCTGCAGAGAATTGTGACGACAAACCCATTCAAAAATGTGGGGGAGATCCACAAAGAGTGGACTGCAGCTGGAGTCAGCGCTTCAAGAACCACCACGAGGAGACTCATGAAAGACATGGGATTCAGGTGTCGCATTCCGTGTGTCAAGCCACTCTTGAACAAGAAACAGCGCAAGAAGCGTCTCGCCTGGGCCAAGGACAAAAAGGACTGGACTGATGCTGAGTGGTCCAAAGTTATGTTTTCTGATGAAAGCAAGTTCTGCATTTCCTTTGGAAATCAAGGACCCAGAGTCTGGAGGAAGAGCGGAGAAGCACAGAATCCACGTTGCATGAGGTCCAGTGTAAAGTTTCCACCGTCAGTGATGGTGTGGGGTGCCATGTCATCTGCCGGTGTTGGCCCACTCTGTTTCCTGAGGTCCAGGGTCAATGCAGCCGTCTACCAGGAAGTTTTAGAGCACTTCATGCTTCCTGCTGCTGACCAACTTTATGGGGATGCAGACTTCACCTTTCAACAGGACTTGGCACCTGCACACAGTGCCAAAACCACCAGCACCTGGTTCAAGGACCATGGTATCCCTGTCCTTGATTGGCCATCAAACTCGCCTGACCTTAACCCCATAGAAAATCTATGGGGTATTGTGAAGCGGAGGATGCAATACGCTAGACCCAACAATGCAGAGGAGCTGAAGACGACTATCAGAGCAACCTGGGCTCTCATAACACCTGAGCAGTGCCACAGACTGATCGAGTCCATGCCACGCCGCATTACTGCAGTTATTGAGGCAAAAGGAGCCCCGACTAAGTATTGAGTGCTATACATGCACATTCTTTTCATGTTCATTCTTTTCAGTTGGCCAACATTAGAGAAACAAACATTTTTTCATTGGCCTTTAGAATATTCTAATTTTCTGAGATACCAGATTTGATGTTTTCATTGGTTGTCACCTATAAATATCAAAATTAAATGTAATGAACATTGGAAATACATTGGTCTGTGTGCATTGCATGAATATAATGTACAAGTTTCACGTTTTGAATGGAATTACTGAAATATTTTCAACCTTTTGATGATATTCTAATTTACTGGCCAGCACCTGTATATGTAAAATGATTTACTAATGTAAAAAAAATGCAATATACCAAATATTTATCATTTATATGGATTTATTAACTGAACACTTTAAGAAATCTCAACTTTCTGATTGCTGGCGCTCATTTTCTCACCGTCTTCATCGCACTCTCCTCTCTCTCGCTCCCCTTTTTCCTTCTCCTCATTCCCTCCGCCCGCATATGCTCTGCTGTGTGTCTGTCTGAGTCTGGTCCTCCCTCTTCCCCGCCTCACCAAAAATAGGGGGTGGGGCTCCCGTCGTTCATTTCATAGAGACGGTTCATTCGCGACCGACACATCACTATCATTTATGTACAAAATGGAGTCTGGAGGTTGCAAAAGTCATTTTCTATACAAACTTGGTGATTTATAAAGCGAACTCTGACCCAGGTGTAAGGGGAATTTAACACACACACACACACACACACACACAGAGCCTGGCTCTTACTCTTAGCTGCAGCTTTGGTCTTCTTCACAGGCTTTGTTGAGTCTTTAGCTTGGGAGCAGAACCAAACAGCCGGGCTGTTCCTCAGCGCGCCCCAGCCGTCCACCTGGAGACACTAGACAGCAGAACAGATATTTGAAGCGGGGCCTCTCCTTACATTTGGTTGTTTTGTGGTCACAGCATAAACACACAGTAAGGGGACGACACTCTGGGTGTCTTCGCCTTCGTTCGTTGTTGACAAGAGAAATATCCTGTTACTGATGGCGTCGTGTGGAGTGAGAAACTGGTACAGGAACCTGGCTGGGTCTGAGTTAAACATCCTGCCTCTATGAGTTACCTGCACTGCCTTTTGATCAGTTGTGATTGTGTCCAGATTGCATTTCTCACTCCAGTTTTTTCTCACTAGGGTCACGAGGATATGGTGGTGTCTAACTCCATCAATCACCAGGTGAGAGGTGGGGACAAGTCTCCATGGGACACACAGAGACAAACAACCAGTCACACCAAGGGAGTCACCAGTTAACCCAACATGTCTACTTTTGTTCTGTGGGAGGAAACCAAAGCACCCAGAGAAAACCCACACATGTATGCGAGAACATGCTAACTCCATGCAGAAAGGTATTGCTGCAAGGCCACGAATCTACCAACCGAACCACCAAGCAGAGCTGGAAACTCAAAAAGAGATAAAAAAAAAACATGTGAGCAGCTCATTTTCACATCTTGATTTCTTATGAGAACCTCACTTCAAGCCTGCAGAAATAGTGGCTGAGCATCACCAGGAGTCTGGGTTAAATGCTTTCAACTGGAACGCTGTGGACGTGTGTGTTCCAGTGGTTTAGAGAATACCACATGCTGTCACTCGCACTCATGGGTTCTCTGAGATTCAACTGGTCATTCCGCTCAAAAGCACCGTTTCAGATGGTTTATCTGGGTTAGCCCAACCCAAACCCACATAACACTCATGATAGGTCATAAAGGTCTCACGAGATAATTATGCTCAAAAGGTTCGATTCAGCTTTCACAGATAGACCAGATAAATGAACGGAATCTTCCACGATACTTTCCAGTCTTAAATAACGCTATCGGAGTGTTTAATCTGAACACGGCTTCTGTAGACCGAGGTCATCACGATGGTCAGCTGTTAGCGCCGTGTTGGAGCGGGAACTACGTCACGATTCTCAACAAACCGTCTTTTCGCGTTTTCGTATAAACAAGGCCACGTTTAGAATAAAAATCAACCAATGGAATGATTACCTTGAGAGAAGCCAGTCGCCCAGATCTTAAAAAGCTGGCCGCCATTGTTGTGTTTCTACTAATAATGTCCGGCCGGAACGTGAGCGTAAGACAATGGTTCCGCGAGGACAAAATCAAGTAGCAATCAACTTAAACTCTAACGTTCACTTATGTTTTTAAAACAAATATTACTGTTAGCCATTTTTTGTTAAAACATATTTAGTTCCTTCTGAATTGAAAAAAAAAGATTTTTATATACAGTTTTCAGTGTTTTGTGGTACGAGGAGATAAAAAAAACTTACGTTAGTAGGAAGTATGGTCTCTTTGTGACTAGAGTACAGGCTGATAACAATTATAGTCAAATCAATAAAGTATTTCATTTTACATATGTATTGTAACCAGTTGTAAGGCACTTTTAAAAACAGGTTCATAAAGAGTACAGCATGTTGATTAAATGGGTCCATCCCAGTCAAAAGCTGATATATATATATATATATATATATATATATATATATATATATATATATATATATATATATATATATATATATATATATATATATATATATATGATGTGTTTGTGTGTGTGTGTTTGTGTGTGTGTGGGTATGATATGTATTTCCAGCCATGGACCTGGCATTAAATTGAACTGAAAATGCATTAAAAATGTTTTACATTTCACTGTCAGACCTGGAGCTACCCTGAAATAAAAATACTTCGACAACTTTCTGTGATTAAGCCACAAATACAATACAAACAGGGCTCCTCTCATAAGTGCAACCATGGCAAATTAATATGTTAAAGGTCCCTTTAAACTAGAATGATCGAGAGCAGGGGGTGTGGGGACCTCTGCTGCATGTTGCTCAGTCAGGAATTTGAACAATAGGGTCATGTACCCTTTGGATGGGAGGTCGGGTATAAAAGCAGCAAGAGAACATGTAGAAAACTGAGCAGTCCTTTTGAACGTACACGGTTGTAACTGTAGGCATGACCATGGGCAAGGTGTTTCACTCATGTCTTTTAATAATTTTATTCTGTTTAGAATTTGAAGAAGAAAGCAGGTCTAAATTATTCAATGATGCATCATAAACATTTTTTTCTTCCAGATAATCTTTTACGAGGAGAGGAACTTCCAGGGTCGCTCTTATGAGACCAGCAGTGACTGTCCCGACATGTCCCCCTACCTGAGCAGATGTCACTCCTGCAGAGTGGAGAGTGGCTGCTTCATGGTCTATGACCAAACTAACTTCATGGGAAACCAGTTCTTTGTCAAGAGAGGAGAGTATTCTGACTACCAACGTATGGGCATGAGTGACTGCATTCAGTCTTGTCGAATGATCCCCATGGTATTAAACCTTAAACATATGAGAGAGATAATGAAGGTTTAAAAGAAGACTCTTTGATTAATATGTCGATTATATTTACAGCACCGAGGCCAGTTCAGGATGAGGATCTATGAGAGGGAGGACTTTGGTGGTCAGATGTATGAAATGATGGACGACTGTGACTCCATCATGGGCCGCTACCGTATGTCTGGCTGCATGTCCTGCCACGTGATGGATGGCCACTGGCTGATGTACGAGCAGCCTCACTACAGAGGCAGGATGATGTACATGAGGCCTGGAGAGTACAGGAGCTTCAGGGAGATGGGATCTGGAGGCATGCGGTTCATGAGCATGAGGCGGATCATGGACTCCTGTTATTAAAATGTCAGCATTAAAACACAAGATTGAAAAAGCTGTATATCTTTTTATTTAATTCTCTCATGGATAAATTATGAAGCAATTGCAAATATTAGTTACTTAGTAGGGGTATGCCGATTCACTAATTAATCGATGCATCTTGATGTGACACATGCCGATTCAAAACCGATTTATAAACATTCATAAATGATTATCAGACATAAAAATCCTTCACCTTTAGGCAAAAATTGCTGTTTTGAATCCAAAATGGGTCGCCTATGCGATTAGGTAGTTTACGACATTGTGGAGTACCTTACAACATACATTACAACACTGGACGGCTTTACAGCATAAACTCAACTGCTGGCACAAACCCGGCCGCAGTTTTGATAACTTTAAAATACTATTGACATTAAAATATTCAAAAAAATTGTGTTTTTACCATTTTTAATAAGTTCAAGTCTGAAAAAACACAGCAGCAAGTACAATCACGTATAAACAATAGTCTCTTCCCACTTTCTGTTCTTAAGTCCTGTGTAATGTGACCATAGCACAGCTTTCTAAAAGGCGCTCAGCGGCGCGAAGCATCCTGTGTGACCACTTGACTTCTCAAAATCGATGCTGCGCATGTCCGTCTCCAGTGTGTCCCAGGCTTTACTCCACTCCCACTTCCTGCTAGACAAATGCAACAAATGCTGTTGCCTGAGTATTTTGTATGTATGTAAATTCTGATTTGCCAAATTTATAAAATAGGCAGGTGTTAAAACAGAACTATTTCCAGAACTAATTAAGTGTCTAGCTGACTCCCGATCCGGCCAAATCGGTGAACAAGCTATTTGAAACTATCCTGTCACTGACCTCAGGTCAAAACATTGCTCTGCAGCGCTTGGTGATATCAGACAAACCTGCTCTTTTAACAGCCTTAGTGTCACGTTGGGGTGTGGGTGGCGGCAGACCATGTGTAGTAGAGCTGACCAGGAGGCAGAAATGCAGGCTCAGATAACATAAAATGGATTTAATGATAGAGGATACAGCAGGAGCAACGAGACACCACAACAAACTACAACAACAACAATGATCTGACAAGGAACACATGCAGAAGGGGCAGGTGAGACCAATAAAGAACTAATCAGGGGCAGGAGAGAGTAAGGCCCTGTCCACACGTAGTCGGGGATCTGCCAAAACGTAGATATTTTTCTACGTTTTGGCCTGTCATCCACACGAAAACTGAGTTTTTCACACGAAAACTGCGTGTGGACAGACAAAACCGGAGTTTTAAGGTCCGTAACGTCACTTTCCGCGACAAAAAATGCTGACATCACGTGTGCGACCTGTGTTTACACTAGCCGACAGCATGGATGCCCTCAGAGCTGCGCTCACTTTATCAATTGTCCAAGCGCTTTCTGCTTGTTTGTTTTTGCAAGCGGAATTACTGCTCCTTGCGGAAGACCACAGACGAAGGACGAGGTTAAGAACGGGGGAAGTACTGCCGCCTACTGGTCTGGCATGTCCTTAACAACGTATTTATCCGGGTACGTGTGGACAGAGTTTTTTTTTTTTTAAACGAGGTGGTGTGGATGCAAGTTTTTGGAGGGGCGGATATTCGTTTAAAAAAAAAACCCGGCTACGTGTGGACTAGGCCACAGATGCAAAACAAGCATTGCAGCTTCCTGTCGAGATATCTCAAGACTAGACAGGTCGTATCGGAGCTAATCTACAAGTTCTTGGTACCTAGAGATCCATGCCATCAGTAGTGTTCATCCAGACCTCTAGACCCCCTGGGGTACTTAAATGTTTTTCTAAAACATCTAGCTTCCATTCCATCATTTCACACATCACACTAAATCACTTCATATTCATTCCATTCCACTACATACATACCTTGTCTTGTATAATCATTAGTTTAGGAAAATAGAAATAAATTCATATGAATTCAGACATACTCAAGTTTAGTTTATAAACATGAAGTATGTACTTGTTCCCTGATAACTAAAAGAAACTAGAATCCTCTGATTAAACATTGAAAGATCGATCAGGTTGATATTTCATATTTATATGGAATCATCACATCTTGTTGATCGTTTGTTACATATGTAGCCACTCCTTAATGCTACACCTGGCAGACCAAGAGGGCAGAGCCACTAACAAATTCACACACAGGCTCACAACATTGTTCCATAATGTACTAGCTAACGTCATGATGCATCTCTTAGCCAAGGTAAGAAAAAGACTGGATGAGAAATCATTGTTTTTAGGGTATTCTATGACTGATGACGTAACAGATGGTATCTGAAAGCTAACACTGGAGGAAGGTTAAGTAAACTGGTAGGACCTTTAGTCTACCTGTTGTAAGTGTTACTAATTCCGACACATATCTGATGTTTTTGAAAGCGTCTGAACGGTCATGTTGCATAAAATCCGTCTCCTACGTCACTGAGTCAGTCTAGTACACTAGGCTACTGGACAGTAGCACAGGCATTACCTATAAAAGGGCTGAACTGGCTGTCAGGAGTTGGGATTCTGATGACCGTCCTGATTGAAGCATGATGTCTGAATAAAATCCCCCATGGGCTGAAAAAGATCTTTGGCCTCAGACTCTATTTACTTAAGCTTCTACACAGGTTGTGAGGAAAATGAAATGTGCACACATTATTAAGGTATACAACTGTGTTGTCTGTCTGTTTGTTTTATTAAATGTCTGTTGGCATGTTTTTGTGTTTGTGTTGCTTCTTCTTTGTCTTCAAGGAAAAGTGTGTGTGTGTGTTGCTCTGTCTCTCTGTTCTCTGACTATATCTGCTCCTGAGCAGAGCAGCAGAAAGATTTTTCACAGTCAACCCTTAAGGGGCCTGTGAGGGGGCTTTGCAGAATCAGAAAATGGAAACTCAATTAAAACAAGTATAAAAAATGAGAGGTTATTACTTAAATATTTTTAGGAAGGATAATGATTATTAAGATTAAATTTAAGAAGGAACTTGTATTTAATTAAATATAATAAATAAAATTAGTTACTTGATGAAATTCACTTTTTTAAGGGATTACTGGTGATTCTTTTTTAGATTTTGTCACACCGAGCAGGAGGAGGTAGGACCCAAAATGCAGAAGCCAGAATGACTCGAGGCAAGAGCAGTTGAAAAAGGTAAAATCCTTTTATTAAGGTGGCAACACAAAATAACTTGGAGATGCAGGAGTCAAATCCAGAAAACTGAAAATCAGGAAGCCAAAAAACAAAAGCTAAATTATGAGCACGAAGACTAGAACATGACTAGGGAACAAAACAACGCTGACTCACAACAACGGACCGACTAACACTGAGGGACAAGACAGGGCTTTTAAACACAGAGGGAGGTGGTCAGGGGAACAGGTGACAGGTGTGAGTGAGATCTGGAGGGAAGGCAGGTGCATTCAATAAACTAAATGGAAAAAGAACTAAGCAGGAGGGAAGATGGAGGAGGATTAACTTATAAAACATGGAATAACTAATCCTAAAGACTAAGGGCAAAAATAAACAACTAATAACTAGAGGGAAGCCTAGAGGGAGCTGGGAATAATAATGGGACATGAGAGGAGAACCTGGAGGAGAACAGGAGGAGGCTGGGAACGGAGGGACACAGAACATGACAGATTTGTATTTATGAAAAAAAAAAAAATTGCACATTATTAAATTAAACTTAAAATTGAAATAAACAACTTCCTAAGGATAATTCATGAAACTGCAAGGACATTGGAGATTATGAAAATGGTTTTAATGGCACAAAGGTGCAATGGAATAGACTAAGCAAATTGTTCAACTGATGAATCAAGTAAGTGAAGTGATTAAAGAATATATAAAAAAGATAAATGAATAAACAAAAATATAAATGAACAAATAAATGGGAATATTTAATAAATATCATGATAAATAACATACAAACTGGTTGTATTTTATTGCTGTATGTTGTACAAACTTCTTCAAAATGAAAACCTTTAACAACAACAGTTTCTAAATGATACAAAAATTAAAAACCAGCTCCATGTACTCCAATTCCTTTTCTATGCCCTCTGGAATAACTATGATGAGGAGACAATCTATTATGAACTACAAATGAAAGTATAGCAAACTTTGATACTGACTTACTGGACAAACTGTGTGATGGGTTGGTCCTTGTACTTTTATGAACTGCTAAGTAAACTGAAGCAAACTTACTGCTATCTTGTGTTCTACCTCACCGTTCAGACGACCCGCTGTTCGGATCCAGAGGTCAAGGGAGGATGTTGATCAGCCTCTGGGTACTCGGTCCGGTAGGGTAGACCAGTGGTACCGACCCTCTGGTCCTAGAGTTGCTGCAGGCACACAGGTGGATGGTTTGCGTCCGAGCAGATTCTTAAGGAATCTCATAGCATCAGCTTGTTGCAGATGGCGTTCCTGTTGAAGCAATTCTATTGGCGTGACAGAAAAGCTTAGTAGAGGTTTCGAACAGCCGACTCGATCCTCAGGACTCTCGTTGCCACGGAGAGAATTTTGGTGAGCTCAAGAACTGAACTTGAACTGAGGAGTTAGGTTTTAAGAGACAGCCGGTAATCTTATTCTAACAAATTAGATTTTGACATGTTAGAGGGTAGGACTTAACATACCTCAGAACACGCCCTCCAAAGATAGAAAGCTCTGGTGTTATGGAACAAAGACATGTGAGTGCAGTTAACCTTAACCTGATTGCTGTGTCCTGCATGGTGTGTATAAGTGCAGATGATCTTCTTGTCACTGTTAAACATTACTGATTATCATAAGTAATAATTATTATTAACCAAAGAATAATAATTCATTTCAGTAATTAAATACATTTATAATGAACCTTGATGATTATTTATGAACATTGTAATAGACCGTGAAAAGATCTAATTAAAAATGATTCTTTTAAATCTTGAAGTGTCCTTCATCTTGCGGATGGAACAGAGTCAGATAAAGGCAGTCAGATTAAAGACGGTTTACAGCAGACTTCGTGTCTCCTGTGATGGATAATCTGTAGACAGAAGTACAGCCAGGACAGTTTGACCCAGCTGAGGAAGTGTGACCTTTGGGACACAAATGAGGCCATTCATGTCGCTACAAATAGTATTAGCAGATATACTAGACAATAGAAACTGGAACAGGTTTAGTGGACAATATTTAGTACAGAGGTACTTACTGCATTTGGGATGGAAAAACAATGTGGGCACATCAACAACTTTTGAGGGAAGTTTCCTCTTTCTAGAAGGTTTCCTGGTTTCTGGTTTATTTACAAAAACAAATCTAACATATAAAATAATAAAAGCCTCCGTGAAAAACGCAGCTGAAAAAAGACAAAACTACAGGTGATCGAACGAGTACAAAAAACGGCAAAGCAATGTCAAATATGACTAAATATAAACTAAAATTACAAAATAAAAACATAAAGTAGGAAATTTACTGAAAATAATTATTATTTACACCAGTAGAAGAGATAGAAGTTGAAAATACACACCCAAAACAATTCCTCCGTTGCCCTATGAGCACGGCACATGGCAGACTGTTTATTTCCTGGTTATCGGGCAGGGACTTGCGTAACATTACTGTAATGTATTGTATACCACTGGAAAGTACATCGTCTCAGCTTTCAGAATCTATTGATTGCGCAAACTGTCAAAGAGTTACGGTAAAGTATGAAAGCCATTTTGTGTTGCCATCGACACAACCACAGCAGCTTTGGGGGCCCCTAGTGGCTTGGGGACCCTATGCAACAGCATAGGTTGCACATAGGAAGAAACGGCCATGGAGCCAATGCAATGATTCTAAAACCAGTGTAATGTGCTCCCGCCTCCTGGTCTTCATCAGGACACGTGCTGCCGAATTTTGTAAAAGTTGTAAGCCTGAGATGCTCATTTTGGGAAGACCAGAAAGCAGGGCATTACAGTAGTCTATTCTACTGGTGATAAAAGCATGCATCAGCATCTTCGTATTGGCCCGAGAGAGAATAGAGAATAGGTTTTACTGTGAAAAAAATCCTCCTGGGCCGCGATCTTTGTTTCAACAAATTATTGGAAACTTGCAGGAGTTGCTGACAGAGAGTTGTCTGCACCCTGATGAACAAGCTCTTTCTTCTCATGAATCTAAAACACTAGGATAGCCCTCCGTTAAAATAATCTAAATTAATTTCGCGTGCGACAGATTTGGCTTCAAGCCAAATTTGCACTGTGGACACACCTCGGCCACTTGCTCTCTGAGTGTTAGCCCAGTCCTCAAGACCATTTTCAAGTTCAGGCCACTTGCTTTTCTGTCCTCTGACAGCCTTTCTAGTTTTTTGGCATTGAATGAGTTCTTCCTGCTGCCGTTTCCAGCACTGAACCATGGATTCATCCATGCCAAGCTTACGTGCGGCAGCTCTGTTTCCCTCCTTTACTGCCAGATCAATGGCCTTCAACTTAAATGCGGCATCATATGAACTCCTTCGTGTAGTTTCCATGATGAGGGGGTATGGATTTGAAAAAAAACAAACAAACAAAAAAAAAAAACAATGGACCACTCAGCAGCAGTCCAGTCCTTTTTGTCTTTAGTCCACACAAGATGCTTCTGATGCTCTCTTGTTGAAGAGTGGCTTGACACAAGGAATGTGACAGTTGAAACCAGGTCTTGCATACGTCTATGCGTAGTGGTTCCTGAAGCACTGACTCCAGCTGCAGTCCACTCTTAGTGAATCTCCCCCACATTTTTGATTGGGTTTTGTTTCACAATCCTTTCCAGGGTGCAGTTATCCCTATTGTTTGCACAATTTTTCCCTACCACATCTTGTCTTTCCCTTCACCTCTCTATTAATGTGCTTGGACACAGAGCTCTGTGAACAGCCAGCCTCTTTAGCAATGGCCCTTTGTGTCGTGCCCTCCTTGTGAAACTAGACTGAGACCATTTTTGAAGGTGTTTTGAGATAATCTGTTGATAAGTGTGGCACAGAGGGGTCTTGAATATTGAACCTTTTCACAGTATTTTAATATTCTGAGACACTGAATTTGGGAATTTCATTAATTGTCAGTTATAATCATCACAATTAGAGATATAAACATTTGAAATATACAAATCTCTGTGTAATGAATTAATCTAATATACACATTTCATTTTCTGAATGTAATTACTGAAATAAATCAACTTAGTCATGAAATTCTAATTTTATCACCAGCACATGTATATTTTCTTTAACAGTCTGTTCAGGAGACCAAACAACAAAGCTCTGCAAGAAATTCTGCAGTATCTGTGACCTCTAATCCTTTAGCTGCCCTGTACTTTTGTGTATCGCAACATATTGTAGATGGTCATTGACAGTATTTTTTTATTAGTTCATGCTATCCTGGTTTACTCAATTTGTCATTTTGTGTCTCTTGCATTTTGAGTCATTTATTTTGTTATGTTAGTGTAACATTTGACTGTTGGGGGACATACTGACCACATTTACTTTGAATTAACCTGAATTTTCTTGTTTGAAATAAAATTGTAGTAGGGATGATTTAGTGCTCATAGAGTGACCTTCTTAATGCTATTAAATATGTGGTATTAGAAGGTTTTCATCATCAGATCATGAGGAAACAGCAACTTAGGTACAAAAAAACAATAAAGGATACTTTACTTGAAGGGTAAATCGGACAGTCAGCATCATACAATACACAACACATCACAGAAATAACAAAAAGCTTTAGTGAGTGCAATGTTCTAGATTCTTTATTTACAATGACTGGCTGCAGTGTTTTTGGATCTTTTTACAAATGAGCCATTAAATAATTCAAAGATAAAATATATCAAATCCATAGATAGCTGTCTCGTTATGTGACTGTATTTTATAAAGTTTATTAAGCTATACTTTTTGATGTATTTAATTGCAAACCAATACCAGTAAAAACACCTTCACAAGTTGGTTAAAAACTTTAAATTTTAATAAAGAAAGTGATATTTACAACAGGTTTTTGTTTGATGGCTAAAATTCGGTGACCCTCCTAAATGATCCAACAATGGCACAGGTGGCACACCAGTCGCGGTACCTCCTGTACTCTCCAGATTTCAGGAAGTACTGTCTGCCTCGGTAGTTGGGGTATTCATAGAAGATCCAGTAGCCATTCATAACATTACAAGAGTAGACATGGCGATGATGGAAACGGTCAGAAACACAAGGACAGTCATCCATGAACTCCATCATATGGCCGCTGAAATCGGGCTTCTCATAGATTCGCAATCTGTAGGAACCTCTATACTGTATGAAAAAGTATCCCAAAATAAAACCACACATCCAAAAACAACAAATATTATCAGGGTTTAATGGCACAACACAATTATAGCAAAAGAATGGATCAGAAGGTATCAATGTTTGCCTTACCGCTGGAATCACCCGACATGATCGGATACTGCTACTGAAGCCCATCCACCTCTGGTAGTCAGGGTACTCTCCCCTCCTCATGAAATATTGATGGCCCATGAAGTTGGGTCGTTCATAGATCATGAAGCAGCCACTCTCCACCCGAATGGAGTTGCAGCGACTGAAGTACAAGTGAAGATCAGTGCAGTCATTGCTGCATTCATAGCTCCGACCCTGAAAGTTCTTGTCTTCGTAAAATATAATCTGGTGAAAGAAATGGGAGAATCAAGAGCAATTAAGAGTAAAATTTTTCTCAAATAATTTTTCCCCAACAAAAGTAGGACCACAGTAAGGGTTTTCCTTTGACCAGAGAGCATCCATAGTACTTACCTTGCCCATGGTCTCTGTTGGAGAGATTGCCCATGTTTCCAGGGCTTTTTATTCTACCTCTTGACAAACAAGTTATTGTTATTCAAATTCTTTGCTAGTTATAACTAAAGGCTACTGGCACATGTTTGCCTTTTTGTTGTAGCTCAACATTTGTCAGAAATATGGATTTGTATTTGAAAAAGCAATAAATATTTTACTGGTTTGGTGTTTTGACTTGCATGGGCAAAGGAAAAGGCTGGTACACTATCCACACATCCATAGAACAATGGCTACAGAACAACATGGAACAACCCTTTTGCATTAAATATGTTGTGACACAGAGCATGACGCCAGTTTGTGCTGCTCTTCCTGAACAGCCTCCCTGTGTGTGTTCAGTTGGTGGGACATAAAGATTCAACTCAGACATGCACCATGTTGTGTACTTTGTACCTTTGTGTAAAACTCTTGTACTACAAACGGTGCCAAATTCCTTCAGTTATTATTTGTTGGAAGACTTGTCCTTTGAAATTACATATTGAATTGACTATTGAGTACATAGTGGATTTTTATTTAAATCATCCCTTATTTTAAAACCAACCCAGAAAAAATTGTTTTATTCTGGGAACTGTTTCTGAAGGAATCAGAGTACAGTTGGAGGGACTAATGACTACTTGCTGGCTTTCATAAGACATTACCAAAAACTGAACACCTATCCCCAAAATACAATTTAACTAGGGTTGTTCCAATCACGTTTTTTTTGCTCCCGATCAGATTCCGAGTCATTTGATTTTGAGTATCTGCCGAAACTGAGTCCTGATCCGATACTTTTCAGAAAAGCATTCAAAAAATAATAATTTTAACAAAGCTTTAAAATAAAGAAGAAATTAAAAAATGGGGTGGGTGGGGGAGTTGGGGTGGGGGGTGGGGGGGGCGCAAAAGCATTAAAATCAGAAGAAAACACATCCAAACTGTCTTTTAAGTTTCCCTTTAATTTTTTTAGGAAGTACACTATTTAAATAATTGTTTATATTGTGAGTAGCAGTGTTGCTCTTATTTCAAGTTGTTTACTCCCTCAATATACAGTGGTGAACCGTGTTCACCTAACGGAGCAGACAGGCAGAGCCTTTGGCATGTAGGGTAACCTTTCTCTGCATAACACCTGTAGCTCCAGCACTGGGAGCAGGGTCCAGCCAGCCGTGGGGCGTATTAAGCACCGGTGCTGCAGGAGAACTATAAATACCGATGTTTTGCCGTCTGTTGGCAATTTTTCTTTGTTCATTAGCATAACTTTCTGAGTGTGTGACAACTGAAGAGGCTTTTACTTTATAAAGTGAAGAGGTAAATGTGTAAACAACAACAGGGCCGTTCTATGCCACTAAAGTGTTCTATTGTGGGATCTACTGGATCTTACAAGAGGTGCCCATTCAGCATCTTGGCAGGAACTAAAGTTTCAGTTCTTTGTGACTATTGGACCAATGAGAAGCCAGAAAATGTAGGAGGCGTCAACAAAAGTCCTCTGTAACATAATGAACAATAAGATTTGATATTCTATATGAACATGAATTATCAATATTATTGATCTTTTGATATTTCATTTAAGATGAAACCAGGTCTTTTTGGTAGTCCAGGGAAATCACACCTTCATAATAATTTGAGACAGTGGTAAAATATAGTTTATAAAAATCAATTTAATACTATTTTTCTACTACTAATGATGAAACACCACAAATTATGATGAATGATGGTTGAAACAAGATAACTGAGACAATGAATGAAATAATGTTATCTAGCAAAACCCAATTAAGCTCCCCTATTTAAAGTGGGGTTTTCACGTTTGATAGCTTATTTTACTCATGGGCTGCATGGTGACACAGTTGTTAGCAGTGTTGCCTCGCAGCACGAAGGTCGCAGGTTCGAAACTCGGTGCGGCCTTTCTGCGTGGAGTTGCGTGTTCTCCCCATGCATGCGTGGGTTTCCTCCGGGTACTCCGGTTTCCCCCACAGATCACAACATGCCCTGTAGGTTATCAAAATTGTAAGTCGCTTTGGATAAAAGCGTCTGCTAAATAAATAAACATAAATATACTCCTCCCTCAAACCATCTATCTTCTCTTTAAACATCTTTGGTATGTTCTTACTGTGTTATTTTTCTAACTGCATTATTGGTTCTTGTTTAAAACACACAAAAGGTTTCTTTTTTACCTTGCTGTTGACAGATCGGGCAGCAGAGGGCGACAACGTCCTCTGCCGCCTGTGGATAAACGGAGTAGGAATGATAAATGAGCCGCACTTGTTTAGCGCCTCTCAGAGTAAGGACTCCAAAGCGCTTTACACTACAGTGTATCATTCATCCATTCACAGACTGATGGTGATGAGCTACAATGTAGCCACAGCTGCCCTGGGGTGCACTGACAGAGGCGAGGCTGCCGAGCACAGGCGCCACCGGTCCCTCCGACCACCACCAGCAGGCAAAGTGGGTTAGGTGTCTTACCCAAGGACACAACAGCAGAATTCTCTGTCCGGAGCCGGGATCGAACCTGCAACCTTCCGATTACTGGACAACCCGCTCAACCTGTTGAGCTACTGCTGCCCCAAGGAAGTGACACCACCATCAGCATCAGCTCTGAGGAAGTTTGCAGCCGCGAACGAAACCATCAGCAGCAAGGTAAAAAAAAAAACTTTTCTGTGTTTAAAAAAAACAAAACAACAGTGGAGTTATCTGTCATCTATATCCAGAATGTGTATTGTCATTTTCAAAGGTGTGTTCCTTGTCCTTCAGGTGTAGGTGGACTGCAGAGTCTTGACCCGAAGAGGTGGCTCTCCTGTGTTGTGCTATACTCTTGTGTAATTGTTGTTTAGTTTACCCAATGTGAAGATCTGGACACTCCTCACTACACTGGGCTGCATAAACAACACCACTGAGCTTCTGTGTGGGTGTTTTGTCTTTTGGATGGACCAGGTTCTGTCTGAGGGTGTTGTTGGGTTGAAAGTTTACTGGGATGTTGTACCATACCATACAAACTTTATTTATAAAGCACATTTAAAAATGGCATGGCAGCCGACCAAAGTGCCGTACAGAATAAAAAGTACAAACACAATATAAAACAAAACACGGTTAACAATAAAATACACAACAAAGCAGATAATCACGGTCAATAAAAAGACACACAGTAAAATAATAAAAGTCAGGGAATTAGAAATGTCTGGTCGTAAAAGTGAGCCTTAAGTAGCGACTTGAACCGGAGGAGGGATGGTGCCAGCCTCACTGAAAGAGGAAGAGCATTCCAGAGTGTCAGAGCAGCATAGACAAAAGCACGCTGCCCCCGCGTTTTGTATTTCATTGTTGGAACGCAAAGCAGCAGACTATCAGCAGACCTAAACGCCCGGTTTGGCACATAACGATTCACAAGATCAGACAGGTAATCCGGAGCCAGACCACTCAGGGCCTAAAAAACAAAAATCAGGATTTTAAACTTGACTCTAAAGTTTACGGGTAACCAGTGGAGCCGCGCCAGTACAGGTGTGATATGGTCTCTTCTAAGGGTGTTTGTTAAAAACCTGGCTGTCGCGTTTTGTACGACCTGAAGCCTGTTAAGAGCGGAGGCAGGTAAGCCAATTAAAATGGAATTTGCGTAATCCAGTCGGGAGATGATAAAAGCATGAATTACGGATTCCAGGTGCGCTCGTTTCAGGATCTGTTTTAAGCGAACTAGTCTGTGCAGCTGGTAAAAACACGATCTGACCACTGCGTTAATCTGAGAGCCCACGGAAAAGTGTGTATCCAGTTTCACCCCCAGGTTGGTAACACACTGCTTGAGGTCATATGGGAGAGTGTCCAAATCAGAAGATAAGTGTGTGGTTTTGTTAAGGGTCATGAGGAGTGCCTCAGACTTAGAATCATTCAGCTTCAGGAAATTGTTGGCAAGCCAAACCCTCACTTCAGCCAAACATTGGTCCAGAAGAGAGAGGGAGCCTGGTTTGTTCAAAGCCAGGTCGATCTGGCAATCATCTGCATAGATATGATAGCCCAGGCCATATTTCCTCAGGATGAAACCCAGGGGGAGGATGTAAATTGAAAACAGGAGAGACCCGAGCACAGATCCCTGCGGGACTCCCCATGGAAGTGGAAGGAATGTAGAGGAACAATTACCCAACTGAACCTTGAAAACTCTGTTTGACAGGTATGAGCAAAACCACTAAAGTGAGGCACCCCTAAGCCCTACCCATGACTCGTCTATCCAGCAAAATATCATGGTCAACGGTATCAAATGCTGCAGAAAGATCTAATAGAAGGAACAAAACAGGAGACCCAGAGTCAGAAGCCACCAGGATGTCATTGGTCACGCGAAGAAGAGCTGATTCAGTACTGTGAAGTGGCCCAAACCCAGACTGGAACACATCAACCAGAGAAAAGCTATTCATGTGTGCTGTAATCTGTGAATAGACGATATTTTCAAGGACTTTAGACAAAATGGTAATTTGGAGATTGGCAGGAAGTTGGCAAGGTTTGAGTGGTCTAAACCAGGTTTTTTAAAATTGGTTGCACAACCACCTTTTTAAAAGAAGTAGGAAACACCCCAGTGGCCAAGCTAGAGTTAAAAATGTCTAAGATGGCGCGACCCAAAATAGGGATGATATCACCCACCACCCTTGGGAGGAGAGGGTCCTCAGGAGAACCTGCTGGTTTCATATTTCCAATCAGATCTGTCAATTCACTAAGAGATGGGAGCAAAGTTAGAGAATGAGAGAGGTTCTGGTGGTACATCAGGATAGCCAGATCCTGGTTGCACAAGACTATCCCTAATGTCCCGGACTTTGTGAAGAAAGAAGGTCTGGAGCTTGGCACACAATGACACAGAGGGATCAACACTACCAGGTTCAGTTATCGACAAGATGGAGTTGACAGTGCTATACAGTTTATGCTAATCACCCTGGTGTTGTGAGATTATGTATGCAAAATATTTGTTCCTGGCAGATCTAACACTTCTCTGATACAGGTCAAGGACATCCATTAGAAGCTGCTGTAAGGTTAGTAGCTTGTCCTTTTTCCACCTTCTTTCCAGCGCTCTACAACGCCGCCTGAGGCTGCGTGTTTCATTGTTCAGCCAAGGATCAGAGGTGGTTTTCTTACGTCTTAAGTTTAAGGGGAGCGACTATCACTACGCCTGCCGCGTCGCTGCCGCTTCCACCGTGGCCCCGCCAGGCCGCAGGGGAAGGAGAGGAGGAAGGGTGGAACTCCATCAAACGGGTTCCCAAACGATCGTTTGAATGAGGATAACAAAATTGGAGAGACTCAAACCTCTGCTGGGGATCCAAAACAGCAGCTTGATCATAGGTGAGGGTGGGACAGGAATCAGCCACTGGGAGACTCAAAAACATTGACAAAAATACGAAAAGCACTAACGGCAAACGGTAAACCAGACGGCAAGCCACAACAGACGGCGCCATCTTGAAATCCATTGCTTTTACGGAGGATCGATGAATCGTTGTGTTTGGAGAAGATTCTTCGAAGTTTCCCTGAGACTCCTGCCAAGTATGGTATGATGGTGCCTTTGTGTAAAGGATGTTGTTGTTAGGTTGGCAGCAGAGCTTTCATGTTTAGTGGTAAGTTCGGTGAGATCGTGGAACGGGATCAAGAATTTTCCACTGACAGGAAAACGATCTCAGCTAACATAGCTGTATATCACACTGGATAACTTCCTTTGGTTGCATTTGTTTTACCACCTCTTACTAGAGCTGCCTTTAGTGAGCTCAAAGTCAGTTTGGTTGTGCACCTGTGCAGTGACAATAAATTATCTTGAATCTTGATTCCTGTTAAAACTAATTCCTGCACCTTTTAAGGCTAAAATAACAAAATGACAAAAACAGACAGAAGGACAACTGTTTTATTCTATTTTAATGCATCACCACCTGGTGTCAGAACAGGACTCAGTATTGGAAGATAATCCAAAATCAAACAACTTGGACTCAGTTCAGAGGCAGAAATGTGGTTCTAACATTTTTAGATATAAGTCAGCTTTTAAAACTCAAACAGTTATTTATGAACTAACATGAACTTCAAGTAATGACACTAAACATATTTTCCTAGTTTATTATGTTGTTTGAACCCAAAGGTCTCATTGTCAGAATTTAGAAACTTGTTGGACCGTGAATCTCTTTAAAACTTTTGCTCTAAAAGTGCCCCTTTTTTAACTTTGAGCACTCGCCCCTTCAAAGGTCTCTGCACGGCCCTGTTGGAGATTAATGTTTGGTGAGTCTTTTTATGTTATTTATTTGCCTGCTTGAATTTTGCTGTTGGTTTATAAAACCCAGAATGCGACTCGAAATTACAAATTTTTTAAATATTCCTTTTTTTTCAAATAAACCGTCATTTCATTTGTTTAGCAGCCCATAAAGCATAATTTTGTAAGGAAGCAAATGGATAAGAAACATGTTACTAGTACATACTTATTTAAAAAAAAAACTCGTTATACATTTGCAACTTAAACTGTAGGGTCAGTTATTGATACATAAATGTAATTTTTACTAATTCAATCTTGCTAACCTTACAACCTCAGCAAAGACAAAATTGTGGGGAACCCCTGCTGTAGTCGATTTATGATGCAATGAACGAGTTTCAGGGACAAAAGAAAGGGAAGGTCAATGTTTGACAAAATGCAATTCCAATCACATGACAAACGTATCGAGAGCCCCTCCACCACCAACACGTTTTTTCCCTCATCTGTCGCCACAGTCTGCCCCTTTACATTTCTGTCTGCCCCCTCCAGTATGCCAGTCTTGAACTGGCCCTGTGTTAAGGGGATTTTTCCCCCCAGTTTAAACTTTTACAAGTTATAAAAGTCAAGACGTACAGTTTGATGTTTTGTACTTTCAACATTTTACCAGTAGAGGGAGCCAGAGCGGGAAAAGCTCCATCTTACCCACTGCTTTTTTTTGTAGTCTCAATCTTCAGTCCTTATATATTGTTTCACATTTTCTTCTTTCACCCCTCCATTCATTCTTACTCCTACTCCTATTTCCTAAATTTACGATTCTTCCGTTCACTTCACATGGTTTTAACCCTTCTCATGCTTTCTTTTCAATTAATTTAGCTTTATCAAACTCACTGCATTTCAAGTTATTTGATCTTTTCTTGGGTAACGTGATCCCCTTCACTCCCCTCTTGTCAGTTACTTGTTACATATTCCCTTTATTAGGATTATTTGTCCTTCATTTTCCACCTGCCATTGTTCTACCTTTTCCATCCTTCCCTTTCCCTTCCTTTCTTGTAAGAGCTTTCAAACTGAAGATAAAGCCCTTTGTGTGCGTGTGTGGTGTGTGTGTGTGTGCGTGTGTGTGTGTGTGTGAGAGAGAGAGAGAGAGAGAGAGAGAGAGAGAGAGAGAGAAGCAGATAGATGCTAAGCAGCAGCAGCTTGTCTCCTCAGAGCTGAAGACAACCTGCAGGACAAGTTGGGTTTGCCTTGTGGAATCCTCGGACCATTCTGTTATCTTCCACAGCTAAATGTTCAAAGGGAGAAAAAGCAAAAGAAAGGGATGAAAACTTAACTTCTTTCTTCAGAAGACGACTGGACATTATTTTGCGTTTTCTAAATCCAGAAGACAAGAAGAGGAAGGAAAGAAACATGAAGTACAAATGATCTAAAATACAACAAAGCTCTTGTTGAAGTCTCTAGGATGCAAACAAAAGAAAAAACTGAAGACAAAAATTATTTAAAAGAAGCACTGATGACAATAAATTGACCACAACAAGTCTGTGTTGGTTGTCTCTGCAACGAGAAGTAGAGACAGATTTTGGGTCATTCTGTGTTTCTGTAAACATCTAAAAATTACAACTCAACTGGCTCCTATGAAAGAGGAATATTTCAGGAGAAACTGAGAAAAAGCAGGAATAAAAAGAAAACTGAACAAATAAAACAGGAGAGAAACAAACATGAAGAAGCAGCTCCTTTGGCTTTTTGCAGCTTTGTTTTCCAGCCTCCAACCCGCTCACCCCGTGGCCCCAGCAGGCAGCTTGGTCCCGGCCCGGGTGGAACGTTGGGTCCGTTCTGGTCTCCAGCTGCTGCAGTGGACCCAGCTGGACCGCTGCCTCCAAATGTCCTCTATGTCTGAGGCAGATTGCAGGCATCTGGTGCCTCTGCCGCTGTCGTCTGTGGCTGTCTACGTTACAGAACTACGAGCTGCTGCAGGTAGGAGGCTTTCACATCGTCACACACTTGCTGGAGAATGCAGCAGACAACTCAGCTCCACCAGAATCTGCTTAAAATGCATCATTATTATTTAATTACAAGATTATTTTAGTAAATTAAATTTAATCATATTGTGTTCAAAGTAGGGGTGGGAGATATGGGAAAAAAATCACAATCATGATTTTATCACGATTTTTTCTATTTTGACAATTCTGACATTTTGGAAGTCGTTTACCACTAAAATACATACATTTTAAATAATACCCTTTCACAGACAATAGGATAAAATATTTCAGAATCCTAAAAAAAATCTTACAATTTCATTATCTATCCATCTCTCTGTCTGTCTGTGTGTCTGTCTGTCTACAGGTGAGACCTAGAGATGCATGTCTCAAATGTCCCACAAGCACTTTCATTTAATTATATATTTATAAATACTGTAAAATAATTTAAATTTGATCTAGAAGTGGCTCATATCCTATCATTCACAATATTACCAGTCATTTTTTCTCCTTCAGGGAAAAAATACCTATCATGTTAAGCTAAATTCATGATGCATCCTCATGCATTCTTTAGTCAGGATTACACTCACTATCGTCTACTTCTATTTATCCCTCACTGCCCTCCATCGCTTTTGCCTGAGTGCACGGGGGAAAGGTTTGGCATGAACAACGTTCTGGTAGGCAGCCACGGTGAAAAGGCTCCCCAAAACCCATACCAACATCTCAAACATCTCTCACAGGCGCTGGAATTGTCCCTGTGTAGGGGAAACACTGAATATGAGTGTTTAGCTTTTTAATGTAAGCATTTCCTGGTTGTTAGGCAAGATTTAGTTAAGGAGCGTTCTTTCTCAGTTGAATTCAATGTGTCCTGTAGTTGATCAGTCATTTAGGTAGTTAGACAAGATATTTTTCAACAACTATTAGTTAAAATATATTTTTCTGATAAAGATTTACAAGCCGCTTTATTTAAGAGGAAAGCCTCAGAAATTCAAGTCTGAATCTTTTCACTCATCTAAAGCTAGTGGTTTATTATAAATGCATAAAGTGTTTGGGTTAATAAAATAAAATGACTTGTTTCACTACAGTATTCACTTATCTTTTTATTTACACTACTTTAGGATTTTCTTCCCAGTTTTATTTATTCAGGTACCAATTTATTTGATCTTTTTCTCCAATGAGTCTTAAAACAAATCTGTGATTTCTTGTTCTTTAAGATGCTGTCCTTTGTCTGCTCCTCTCCAAGAAACAGTTAGTTTTAAGGTGTGTCTCTCTGGTGCTGACATTCTACTCTTTATTAAAGCTATAAGTTTACAGCAGCAACATTTTGTCTTTCACGTTCTTCTAGGTCCTTTGGACAAAGTTGTTGCTATCCTACCAGACTTTTCCAACATTGTACTCGACTCCAAGTTACAACGAGGTTTTAACTTTGAAAAGAACAGAGGTCAAGCTCCACACAGACACCAGCAGCCTCTTCAGGACTTCACGGTCCATGATGCTGTGCTGGTGCTTGATCTCAACCCAGGGCAAAACTTTGGACACCCTGTTATTCTTTTCTATGTGGATATGAATGTGACGAAGAAGAGATGTTCCCACCTGGATGGCATTCACCTGGGTGAGTATTGAGCCGTTTTACAAAACAACGCCATCAGTTTGTTGTAACGCTGTGGCAGCTTCAGGGAGCTGTAAGCCGGGCAGACACTTTGCGACTTTTTCACTTTTTGGAGCCAATTTTCTCCTCGTGCAAGAATCTACAAGATTGGGGCGAGTTTTGTGTAGTAAACAGGGGCTACGGGAGGCTATCAACACCACGTGACCAGCATGACTTTCTGGAGTGTTTGATACTTTGCTCATCCCTCGTGAGGGTATTGCACTGTTGAAGCGGCGCTGTGAGCGGCTGCGACCCAAAAAGTACCAGAAATGCTCACAGTGCATGTGCAAACATGCGTCAACATGGCTCGCAAGCTATTTCCCTATTAATACACATCATTCGTTTTTATTTATGTGTGTAGAAACTGCTATTTTTAGCATATTTTTAGGTCTGACGTGTTGCTACCAGACGTCCAGTGTGAACAGTCAGGTCGCATCCAACAACTGGGTCATACTGTGTGAGCGCATGACTCGTGAGATCTGCTCTGTGGGGAAGTCGTACAGTTTGAGCTGAAGCTGAGTGCTACGAGTGAAAAAGTCGCAGTGTCTGCACCCGAACCTTATCCTCTTGTTATTTAACCTTCCACTCACCCCTATCCTAACCTTAACCATCTTGCTAGCTAACACGTTACCCTTACAGTGACCAAGCGTTTGTTTTTGAAGCTCTGGGAGTGAGAATGTGTTCGTCTGTTTCATTTTGGAGAGACCCAGAGGTGAATTTCCCCTCTCCCTCCCCATTCTCTTCTTCACACACACGGCGCTCGCCTGAACCCTCTCAGTGAGCAGGAGCGCCTGTAGCTGCAGGGTGCTCCAACGTGCTGGTTCCAATCCAGACACAGTGATATCTAACAGATAGAAAACCATGTTGCGGCGCATGCTTCTTTCTTTTTTTTTGTTTTTCACTTAGCGATTGTGCGCCCCTTTGTATCAAGAAAAAATGCCGCCCCGGGCAGCCGCCCGGTCTGCCCGTACCTAAAACCGCTACTGCGGTACAATGAGCTCGTTTGGTGCCCTGGCTGAGGACATCCCATCGTGTCAGTCTTATGCTGCATTAGGATCTGCAGTCAGAAAAGGGGAAACCCCCTTTTCGTACATTAGTGACGTAAAAGGGCACTTTTGGCGTCAGGGGTTTGATGCGGAGGGTGGGGGGCCTGAATCAACTGTATGAGATGGCTGAAGTCAATCACACCTTGTTGTTCTTCCATATAATGCACATTTAATTCACAATATTATAAATACAGGCTTATAAATCCTTCACGTTTTCTGAACTGTGGGAAATCCCCCCCCCCCCCCCCCAAAAAGTAGGAAGAACAAAATGATTTTGTGGTCACCCACCAAGGTCAATTGGTTTAGTCTTGACTCCTGGTTGTTGTCATCGACAATCAGAAACCTGTTTATTGAGTCGAGTGCCAAACGAGATGGACAGAAAAAGGCCAAAACCATCAGGTGCCCAATTCAGGAAAAGAAGAAAAGAAAGGTAGTACGTTCTCATACTAGGATGCACGTTTTAAATATTTTTTTAACCAGTTAACTGGGGATTTTAACTGTTGAATTTGGTCAACTAATTGCTAACAGAGCAAATAGCACTGAAAGTTTCAAGTGAATGGCTCGAATAAATTCCTTGAATCCTTTTTTAATGATTCAATCGCGATTCGTTGAATGTGCACTGCAGCCTGCCTCCTGAACAACAACAAAAACACGTTGATCAAGATTCATGTTCTCATAATAATCAAACTCTACAAGCAGAAAAAAAGTCCCAGTCCTCACTAACTATCCTGTTATTATCATTTCCACTACTACTGAACATGTTAATGAAATACCTTACTGGTCTACTGCTCATAGCACGCCAGCAAACTCATGCAGTCTCCAAATATGCATGTGGACCTAGCTGTGAGTCTTTGGAAGAAGACTGAGCAAGGTCTCCGCAGCTACAGGGCAAGTGGCTTTGTGACTGCACAGATGGCAGCCAAAGATGGCACAAGGGATGTCTTGCCTGGGGAGTAGAAGAAGAGGGAGAAAGTATCATTTCTATAGCGCCTCTGAAGATAAAATTCACGAGGCGCTTCAGCCCAGAGTTATTCCATGTACAACCGCCACTGTGTGTGGCTCTCTCGTTCTCAACCACATTAGGGGGAGTTAACCACTTTGACCCTGGGGCTTCCAGTCCCTCTCCCAGTAGTCTGCACAGATGTTACTGTACAATATGCCAGCCACTTGGTTGTGGTGTTCCATGTATGCATTCCCTGCCAGCATTTTACACCCAGCAGTTATGTGGTGGATTGTCTCAGGGGCCTCTTTGCATAGCTACACATTGGGTCTTGTCTGGTGTGGTAGATCTTGGCCTCTGTTGCTCTGGTGTTCAGGGCCTTCCCTGTGTAGTTATGATGAGTGCCTCAGACCAGCTCTTTCTAGTCATTGGTAGGATTTCTTGATATAAGTCACTTTAGTTATCTGTCGGTGGTACATCCTGTGTAGGGGTTTTTCCTCCCATTATGGTATTTCCAGTGACTGCTCTGTTCGCCATTATCTGTTTGGGCCTTGATGTACTTATGGGTATTGGATGTTTCATTCTGGACAGTGGCTCTCACATTCATTATTCCGCTGCCTTCTTCCTGATGGCTAGGGTGCTGGATTTAGGATGGAAACCTCCATGCATGGTTAGGAGCTTCCGTGTCTTAACATCTGTGGTCTATGATTCTTCCTTTGGCCAGCTTATTATTCCTGCAGGATATCGGATTACTGGCAGGGCGTAGCTGTTTGTTGCCCAGATCTTGTTCTTGCCATTGAAAACATTTCTTAGTACTTGCATTACCCCTCATTGGTATTTTGCTGTGGCTCCTTTCCTTGTGGCTTCATCGAGGTTGCTGTTTGCTTGTGGGATACCAAGGTACTTGTAGCTGTCCTTAATGTCTGCTATTGTTTCTTCTGGGGGTGAGACCCCTTCTGTGTGGACTACCTTCCCTTTCTTTGTCACCATCTGACCACACTTCTCTTAACTTTATGAAAACATTGAGCAGTATTGGAAAGTTTAAACTGTCAATCGAGTTCAGATTTACTTAGGCATTCACCAGATGCCTCATCTTGATCATCTCCTGGAGATCGTTCTGCTGACTGGACCAAACTTCTTAACTCAGGTGTTGAAGTGAGCCGCTTTGCGTCTTTGATGACATTTGGCTTGAAGAACCCATCCCACTTCTGAGTCCCATTCTGTCCCGCTCTGAACTTGAGACAGTTCTCCACACCTTCATCTCCTCACACTAGCCCCCTTCAGACAGGCCATGAAAAACGGAAATGTTCCGGAATCTGTCCGTAAGACCTTTCTGTCTGAATACAAACATCCGGATAACGTGTTCCGAAATTTATCCGGACGGAGCCCCTAGTAACAGGTCCGGACTTGTTACGGACAGGGTGGCTGCTTCAGACTGGTGAGGTAAAGTTCCGGACAAGAGGGAGGAGGAGGGGACCGGGGGACGCCGTGCGCACCTATATAGCCCGCTGCTGTAGCAAGCGGCGAACCACGGCAGCTCGCCTCCTACGGTACCGCCTAGACGCGCGACGGAGCGCTTCACACCGCTTCAGTGATTCCCTTAACCATTGAGCTTCATCATCCAGGTCTCTTATGCGTCTTCGTGTGCGCAGAATTATGCTTAAGCGCCTCGTGATTTTTATCTTGAGAGGCGCTATAGAAATGATATTTTCTTCTTCTTCTTCTTAATATAAGTCCGATTCCCACCCCACCCCACCCCACCCCCCGCAGCCATCAGACATCTGGAACTTTTCCCTGCTGTGTGAATGCAGCCGAAAGGACAAGTTCCGGTACAAAAGTGGTGTGTCTGAAAGCACAGTTCCGGTTAAAAACCGGATTGAATTGTCCGAAAATGTTCCAGAATGTCTGTCTGAAAAGGGCTTTAGACTACTGTAACTCTCTTTTCACGTGTCTGAGCAGAACCTCCCTGAATCATCTACAGGTGGTTCAGAATGCCTGTGCTCGGCTTCTGACCAAGTCCTCCAAACACACCCACATCACCCCGCTTCTCCTCCAGCTTCACTGGCTGCCAGTCAACTTCAGGGTTCATTTCAAGATCCTGGTTCTGGTCTATAGGGCCTTACATGGACAAGCACCATCTTACATTGGTGATCTTCATAGTCCCTACACCCCCAGCAGGTCCCTGAGGTCCAGTGACCAAAGCCTACTGGTTGTGCAGCACCAGGCTAAAGACCAAAGGTGACAGATCATTTGCTGCTGTGGCCCCCAGACTCTGGACCTCTCTCCCCCTGAGCCTGAGATCAGTGGACTCAGTGAACTCCTTTAAAAAGCAGCTGAAGACTCACTTGTTCAAGCTGGCTTTTGCATGACCTTCTTCACCACTCTCTCTTTATTCTGCTCTCCCCACCTATTCCACCTTCCTCAGGATCCACTGATTTCCCTCTTTCCTGTTCACTCTCTCTTTCTTAACTTTTTTTTAATCACAATTGCCTATTTTTGCTCATTTTAAATATATTTTTCAACATTTTCTAAATGCTTTTTTTATATTTTTACATTTTTTGTTTTTGTGAAGCGCCTGGTGATTTTTTTTTATCTTGAGAGGCGCTATAGAAATGATATTTTCTTCTTCTTCTTCTGCAACAGTCTGGAGGAGGTGTCTTCATTAAACAGAAGACTGAAGTCTTGATCAGCCTTTGACAAAAAGCAGAGATTAAATTATCATTATTTGGTAAAAATTTACTTTGGAAGACTTTAACAACTTATGAACACCTTCCAGTCCTTTTGTATCCAGGAACCGTGGGAAGGTTTTCAGAATATCTGTTCCTCCGTTGGCATCTTTGATAAGCTTCTGACGATGCTGAAAAGTTTCTCTCATCTTCTGAAAAACCAGGACCCTGGGGCAGCAGTAGCTCAGGTGATAGAGTGGGTTGCCTCATGATCGGAGGGTCATGGGTTTGATTCCAGCTCCCGCCAGGGGT